ACAATGGTTAATCTCTTGCTGTGAATAATCATATACTGGGAAACCTTGAAACTATTTATCCAGTGGAAACAACAGAATGCAGATCTTCTAAAATCAAAATCACAGACAAAATGCAAATTTGTTTTTTTTAGTTTAAACTTCACCTCCATGGTCTGGGACTGATGCATGGATTTGATAGCAGACTGGGCCATTTGTCTGGCTGTGAATGTCACAAACGCACAACCTGCAAGAAAGAAACTAAATGTATCAGTTTTGTTAACCTTTCAGTAAGACCACACTTATTTTTAACAAAATTCTTGATACACTTTTCCAGTTTATTGGTGTAAGAGGGAGAACTTGGTTTTGATTAAGATTCATTATTCATATTTAACCTCCTAAGACCCGAACTCTTCCACAGCATGCATTTTTAATTTCTCTTTGATATTTGGGCATATTGGGGCCTGATGAATGTAAAAACAAAGATATACCAGATTTTTTTTTACCTAATTTTTGTTTTTAAGAAAAATGAGAGCCACGTATTAGGATATTCATTTAAAATTTTGAAAGAACAGTAGCAGTATAACGTCCTCGTAAGTGGATATCAGGCCCTTGTAGAGCAAAATTGAGTATTTTGGTCTAAATAACCCAAAATGTGATGTCCACATATGTGGACGCCAGGTCCCAGGAGGTTAAGAGGGCAAAAGTAATTTATCTTTAAAAAAAAATTCAATTCAATCAGTAGGTCATCAGTTCCTGGCATTGGATAAAATAGTGATGATATCATCTTGTGGATACATCTGCTTTTCCAGACGATTGTACCGCTTAGTCTGTACACCCGACCTGACAGGGGAAGAAAAAAATCAAACAGAATTAAGGGTTGTCGGTCTGGTGAACCACTGGTGCAAGAGTTAGGGTTAGGGGCTTATCTAGATATTCTAACATTAAGGCTACAGTTAGATTTTCCCGTTTCAGTGCAGCTAACCAAATAATGAAAGAACTGCACTGAAACAGACAGTGAAAGCGGACAGTGTATCTTTTATTTGTTTGTTTTTTTTAAGTATAAAAGTGATACCTTAGGCTGCTTTTTAGTTGTAGTGTCCTTGTGTTCCACTGAGTTCTGTCACTAGTTACCTTACCTAAGTAATGCAAGTCTATTAGCAGGGACCAACTAACCTAGTCACATCACTTTTTGACTCTAAACATGGTTTAAGAACACATCTCTATGATGTAAATTATCCTATTTATAGTATTTTCACCTTCTAACATTTTTGTGGTATTCGAAACAACATTTTTCTTCACTTCTATCATGGTTCTTTAAAGCTGTTAAAGAGCAGGGCATTTTGCTGAATTGATAATCAATGTTGTCTCTTTAGAATCAAACCTGCAGAGCGAAGAAAAAGTATGAGCTTTCAGCTCTTGAGGGCATCTTCTGGTGGATAAGATCAGTCTTTATTCTTAGTCACTTTTTACGTCATCCCAGTTTGGTTGTCTATAAACCTTTGGACATATAGAACTGCTTGGTTTGCCATTGCACAGAGCTTCCACATTTTGGTTTGTGACCAATTGGTTTCAGCCCATACTAGGCATTTACAATGCTGTGCCATCCCTATTCTTTTTATTTGCATATGTTTCAGTACATTTATTAAAACATTTTAACATGTTATTAAGTTAGTAAGACTATGACCACCTTTATTCCTCAAGTGAGTCTAAATTGTCTTATTCAGCTCTCTTATACTTTCTTACAGTACTTTCTTCAGGAATAGTTCTCCAGGCTTCTTGAAGGATATTCAAGGCTGTTCTTCTATTACTGCGTCAATAATGTTAAAGTCTGGGCTCTGGGGCGGCTAATCCATGAAAGATAGTGTTCCTCTGTGTGTTTTTGTATATGGGTATAATCTTAATCCATTGGTGTTGTGTTTGGGATCACTGTCATGCTGAAAAGGGAAGCTGTTCCCATAGGATTCCAGGTGGTATTGCATATTCGATCAAAATTTCCTGTTCTTTTTTTTAATGTGATCATAATTCCCTACTGTTGACAAGATCCTCAACACCACTGGCTGACCTGCAGCCCTACACCATGACAGAGCCTCCCCTTAAAGAAGTCCTTAAAAAGTCGCTTTCTTTCCGAGCTCTTTATACTGACCTGGATGACTTTACCTCTCCTGACCTCTTACATACCATATTGACAATTGAACTGAAATTTTTGGATTTGGATTGAGTCAGATGGAGTTACACTCCATGTGACCCAGTTCTTGTGTAATCTGGCACACAAGAGCCTTTTTCCATATTTGATGAAGGAGCCCAGGCCAACTGTTATAAGGTGACAGCAATAAGTCAGTAAAAAAAAAGTTGGGCCTAGCTTTGGGGTAAAATAAATTAAGTCAATTTGGAAGTGCCAAATTATATCTGAGGGTCACCAGATTGTGACTACAAAAAGAATTCCGGTCCTACAGAAGTCTTTGGGAAAAATGTTTTCTATCTTGACCTTTGTAAACACTTTGGTCGTGAGTAAATGGGCTTACTCATTTGTTCTGGGTGATACTGAAAAAAACAAATTGAGTCTATTGTGTAAATTTTGCTTAGACCATGTTTCAAAATGGCAGATTATCTGTAGAACTGAACAGTTTGGCCTAATGCATTGTCAGTCACAAGTCATTAGCTAATGAGCACATGGTTTCATAGTCAGAGCTGCCCTTCCTTGTTTTTTTTGCAGCGGTGGAAACGCTCATCTCAAGGCTACAAATCAGGACTTGAGAAACCAATTAGCTTTACTTGGCCTCTAATGTACAGTATTTTCCGCACTATAAGGCACACTTAAAATCCTTAAATTTTCTCAAAAATTGACAGTGCACCTTATAATCCGGTGCACCTTATGTATGAAATTTGGTTGTGCTTTTACTGACCTCGAAACAATTTTATGTGGTACACGGTGCTCAAAAATCTGTTGTTGTTTTTTTTTTTTTTTTTTAAAAAAGCAGATTAAGCGTTATGTTGCTAGATTACACATTATATTCAGATATCTCACAGAATTCCCTTATCTTATTCTCAGAGATGCAAAACAACGCATATATAAACATAACTGTCGCTGCCAGATCTGGGGCAACCCAGCATCTGTCCAAATACTCTCCCAACAAACAAAATTACACCCCCAAGAATTCCCAAAAGTCAGTAGGACTCAAACTCCCAAGCCATTACCCATTACAAGAACCTGTAACCAATTTCAGTCAAAACACTCAATTCTCAGGGAGGAACTCCTGCCAGCCAGGGATGCCCAAAGTAACGTCCAATCGACCCAATCCCCACCATCCACCCCGCCCCTCACATCCACAGAAAGACAGCCAGATGGAACCCGTTGCCTAGTACTCTCCCAGACAGGTCCAGTTCCACCTACAATCAAAGCAAATTTGACCGCAGAGGCAAAAAGCACAAAGCCCCAGTCTCTCCCACCCATCCCCCTGCACCTCAAATGGTCAAAAACAGAAGCAGTTTGAATTCAAGAAACCATTCCAGTGAAGAAGAGTCCGTGCCTTATTCGGTTGAGTGGTCCTTGTAGGCTATCCATTTTGTCCAATGTTTTTGGAATTTGTCAGTTTTCAATTTCAAAGAGTAGGTCATTTTCTCCATTATATATATTTCCTCTATTACATCGGCCCATTCTTTCAATTTTAAGGGCTCACTTTTCAGACAATTTCTTGTTATTACCTTTTTCCTTGTCAGCAACATAATTTTAAACAAGTAACAGTCCTCCTTTCTTACATTTTCCAATAGTCCAAAGTACAGTACTCGGCCTCGCACGGCACATCATACCCAAATACTTTCTTCATTGTTACCGCAATACTTTCCCAATAAGATTTGACATTTTTGCACTTCCAAAACACATGAGAATGGTGGCGTTCCAGTCCCCACATAGTCTCCAGCATTGCTGGGGTGTTTTCAGCTGCTTGCTTTTGATACAAGGAGTAATAAAAAACCTAATTACATTTTTCCAACCATATTCTCTCCATTGTCTAGAGCTAGTGGAATTATGCTGTGAGAGACATGTGAATCGCCAATCATCCTCTGACAATTTAAGATGTAATTCAGATCCCCACTTTTGTTTAATATATAATGTTTCATTCCTAATCAAATTTCGCAGACGATTATATAATTTTGATACAATTTTTGATGGAAGATTTTTATACGCACCTGATATTATTTCTGTTATCTGGCTACCTTCCCTCAGGGCCTTCCTCCTGATTCCTGTATTATAAAAGTGTCTTAATTGGGAACAAGTCTGATTTATCCAGTCCAAACTGTCTGTGTAGTTTGTCGAAATATTTGAATATTTTCCCATCTATTAATGTGCACATTGCTGTAATTCCTAAAAATGTACTATCCCATTAGCCACTTAAGAATTTTTGAGAATATGCAGGCCAAATCAACAGTTTGCAGTCTTCTTCAATTCTACACTTCGTCACTATAATCCACCAGAGTTTAATAGTGAATTCAGTAATAGGATTTGCATGTGTAGACTGTATAGTTTCTCCTCCCAATCTTGCTTGTGGTTGACATGATGAACAATAATTTATCTCAATATGTTTCCATTTTGAGGTGTAGTCCGGTGAGCACCAGTATACAATATATCTCAGCTTGGCTGCATATAAGTATTCCTTGAAATTCAGGAGGGTGAGTCCAACTAGGAAAAGAAAGAGGAGGAGGGTTTCAAATCTTACTCTTGGCTTTGTCCCTTTCCAAATAAATCTGCTCACTAGTTTATCCCTTTTGCCAAATTGTACGTCTGGTATATAGACTGGAGATCCATGACAAGTGGTGCCCATTTAGTCAAATCTTTTTGAATCGCGTCGCTAATCTTGCCATAATTTGTCTCATATAATGTGCCTAATTCACAGATTAGATAGACACCTAAATATTTGATCTTATTTGAGTCCCATTTTAGTTTATATTTCTTTTGGATTGAATCTCTGGGGGAATAGTTCATACAAAGTACGTGAGTCTTTAAGATGTTTAGTTTATACCCTCATTTTTTACCAAAATGTTTAAATACTTTAATCAATTGAGGAAAGGTCGTGTCAGGATCCTGTAAGTATATTATTATATCATCAGCAAAGAGACCTATTCATTGTTCAACTTTAGAAACTGTAACCCCTTTTAAATGTGAACTTTGCCGTATGTAATGAGCCAAAGTCTCAATATACAGAGCAAAAAGGGCTGGACTGAGGCAACAACCCTGCCTAGTTCCTCTGA